TTGATTTAGAGACTTCTTCGATAATCTTTCTAGAATTTTCCTCCATCTTTTCGAACTTCTCGTCCATTTTCTCGAACTTTTCTTCAATATTTCTAGAATTTTCTTCATTAATCCTTCTAGAATTTTCTTCCAACTTCTCGAACTTCTCTTGAATATTTCTAGAATTTTCTTCATTAATCTTTCTAGAATTTTCTTCCATTTTCTCGAACTTCTCTTCAAAATTTCTAGAATTTTCTTCCAACTTCTCTTGAATATTTCTAGAATTTTCTTGGGTGCTTTTCATTTCTTGTTGCAACACCTGTTGGCCATTTTGGATTTGCTGGAGCAAATTGAGCATCGTTTCTTCCATTTTAGCGGCAGCAGATCTTGTTACAGGCATACACAAGCACAAGCACTTAATTTAAACTTACTTTTAATTAATTTAATTAATCCCACTTCTGACACCAATGTAACGTTATTTATAAATTCGGGTTCGATTTATATCAATATTTATTAAACAAAACTAAAACACTATAAAATCCGTACAATTTATATCGATTATTTATATCACTCACACTTCGCAATTTATTTCAGATTTTCGCGCTCGATGTTTCATACGTACTCGTTCCGTAGTAGACTGCCGCGATGTTCGGTCCGCAACCATTTATACACGCAAGCAATGTAAGTCCAGTACATTCTCGAATACGCGTAGAAAATTCCAGAGAATTCTGGAGCATTTCCGTTACAGTATTCAAAGAAGGTGTCAGATCGCATCCATCCACTTTCGGATTTGCCCAAAAACCACCCTGAAGGTACACTGTCAACCACCGCCTTCGTGGGTCTTACAAACGGGAACACAACCATAGGCGGTAAAGTTTGACCGTCAGCCGAAAAAAACAAAAGTACTGTGATAGTCTCCTTTTCGCTGCCTTTTTGTATTTCGTATACATCTCTCCATCCTTTGGGTGCCAACACTTTTCCCGTTTTGGGACACATTGAAAAACTTGTCTCGTCCCCATTAAAAATTCGAGTTGGATCTTGTAATATATCCAAAGAATTGCAAATTTCTAAATGAGCTGTTAATTCACGAAACCATTTTCTAATTGTTTCCTCGGTTATTATACTTCTGGCTTTAGTGAGTCCTTCTGCTTCTCGCAGAGCTATCGCAGGATGTCTCTGAAGAAACAGTTTATACCATTTCTTTCCCGGTCTGCTGTTTACAAAGGGATTTTTTCGTTCTTCGCTTATTACAATTTGTTGCACTGTGTTCAACAAATCATTTTTTTTTAAAGGAAATCCACTTTTAGCTAATTCAATCACCCATTCTTCTAGCTCTACTTCTTCATCTTTAGTGAGAATAGTGCCCGGTCCCATTCTTCGGGGCCCTTCTTTAACTCGCCCGTGCAGTCGGTCCTGCAATGTTCCCCTAGGAACACTGAACCTTCGGCTTGCTTCCCGAATTCCTAAATTTTCAGTTCGGATTGCGTTCAAAGCATCGCGTAAAGCCTCTTCTGAGTATTGATGTATTTCGCGTTTTTTAAAAGGCGCCATTGTTCTAAATAATAAATCATCAAATTATTACCTAGGCAATTTGTACGGATGAGTATTGGCACTGAGGGAGCGTGAAGTCGGCCATTGCCACACGCTTGTGCAATGAGGTGGCTGACTATTGGGTTTACAATGTTTTTGCTTTATTTTTAGTTCACCAGTTAGATTTTAGGCTACACCTGTATCACAACAGTCAATTTGGTTCATATTCGAAATGTCCGCAAAATTCCCAGTGGTCGGCCACCTGGCTGATTACTGGAATGGACAGATCAAGTCAATACCCATACTCAGCCGTCTTATTTTACCAACTCAGCTTTATTCAATTTTATTTTTTGAGAAATATTTGGAAAGAGAAACTATCATATAATTACAAAACACTAGCACTGTGATGTTATATGCACAATTTTCTTAATTACAGACTATTTTCTGATGGGTCGTATCTAAGCAAAATCATACGTGCTTACCTTGAATTCAGCCGTTACACATCAAGCATATAATCACATGCGTCGCACTCTGTCAATTTTGTGGTTATGTTGTTAGATGTTACTGGCGCGAAATTTAAATAGGTGGCCGACTATTGGGAAAAATACAATTTACAAAAAGAGTGATACTTCGGATATTACAAGGCAATATTTGTACTGGTGGCCGCCAACTGGAGATGGTTGAACTTAGGTGCATTTACCCTAGAGAGTGTTAAAGTTTGTTCGTATTTCGCGGAATTCGAATTGAATTACGCGCGTATGTCAGCTGCCCTCTCCCGAAATGTTCCCCCTTGCCCGCGGTCAGCGGCCTACTGCGCATGCACACAGCGACCACCACCGGCCATTTTAACAGTTGTTTACACGAAGTTTTGTGGTTATACTTTTTACCAGTTTTATGATATTATAATATAAAAGGTGCGTTAACTATAAAAGTAGGTAGGTAGGTATATATACAATATTAATTTTTTGATTTATTAGAATGTACGTAGGCGTAGAATTCTCAGACGCAGGGGAAGGAATTGCGGTAATTTGTAACACATGGTTAACTCCTTTAAAGCAGCAGTGTTGGTGGCCGCCCCATAAAAAACTCGAACGTTACAATAAGGCGTTAAAGCACGTTGAACAACCAAGCGATGATTGGGAGTTATACAATATAAAAAAGCGTTTATTTGAAACAGGTTAGTTAGAAATGGAGAGATATTCGATTGTTTCACAAATAATTTAGATGATCTTCAAAAGGCATCCATAAAACTAAAGAAGGCTGAAACTACTTCCGATGTACAATCAGAGCAAGAGGCTACAAACCCAAAACCAATAAAAAGAATTCGAACACTTCCTTCAAGATACCAGAATTACGAATCATCTGATGAAGAGCAAATTCCATCGAAATTTCCTAGACCAGCAGCGATTAAAAAACTAATTGGAAATCAAACAGTAGGTTCGGAAGGTAAGCATTCCGTTTATGTAGGTATCTGCATGTATTTAAAAAATTAGCAATTTCAATGAACATCGAGAGATTTTTTACATACTTAACTATAATTATATGAATCTTTAAACAGCAAGAAGTAGGTCAAGGACACATCTATATTTTGGGTTTTGTTTCAGTTCATGTGGTTCAATCCCCTCCTTTTACTCCAAATTCGCCATCGATGCAAGTTGATACTGACAATTTAGATTTAGAAATTTCTACCCCAACAACATCCTCAAGACCAACAATACTATCGTCTTCGTACAACAATGAGGAAGAGAAACGTAATTATTTATAAAGTGTTTACAGGGTGATATTTTTTTTATGTCTTTTAGGGTTCCGTTCAAAATTATTTACAATGCTTCATCTTATAAAGGAACAAAACAATAAAATTATCGACTGGATTGAAAACCAAAACCCTTCACATTCGACTACAGTTGAAGAAATTACCACCAAGTTTCCTGTAAACTTTCCTTTAGCCGACGTAGATTCTGTTTCAATATTAGACGAATATTTGAAGAACGAGAAACACTTTACTAATTTGGTAAGGAAGCTTCCGTAAATTGTAGATATATTTACTTAATTTCGGTTATTGTCTTACAGGTTACATATTGTTGTGTAAACTTCCTAAGCCTGAAAATACCCACACAACTTACCCTTACTAGCTCAATCCCACACAAACTCTTAAAAACACAAATCTCAGGGCCCGTAAAATGAGTCCGACTACCCCTTTTCTTCGTCCGGACAAGGGGTAGCAACCTCGCCAGGTCGGTGGCTAATACCTCCCTTAAATTCCAAACAAAATAATCCCTTGTTAACTGACTTCTGGAATGAAATTTAAGTCCCACCGATGATCCAAACCTTTTTACTTTACCAAACTCGTTTCACACTCGGGAAAAAAAAGAAAACTTAAAATTTGAGAAACTCGAATCCTTGACTTTTACTTTACACACACAAATAATAAATGACAAAAAAAAATTTTAAAAGGCTAAATTTACAAAATCCGAAAAAAAAAATGACTGACATGAAATGAAACACAAAACCGTCTCAGACGGCGATTCTTACAATTAAAATTTAAAAACAAAAATGACAGTACTCACGGTGCTAATCCTTTTTACAAAATGCACCCACGACCGAAGCACACAAAAAAAAAACACAAACACGGCCCCAGGTATGTGCTGACACAGCTACTCCAACAGCTCCTCGGCGATGCTGGCGTTAAACAAACGTTCCGTCTCCTCCAGATGATGTAAGATACAACACAAACGAACTCTCGCTGCTCAAAATGGCGTTATTGTACCGCTCGTTTCCTCTCCAACAAACTCCTTCCAAAGACCTTAAACTCCTCGACGATGCCGGCGTAAAAACACGTTCCCGGACTTTCAAAAATAACAACACTCGACGAATAAACTGGCGTAACTTTATCAAACGCCGCTACAATAAACTTTCCAAAAAAATCCTCACATAGACAAACGTAGGCTTCGCGAAACGGTACAATAAGCGCCTTCTCTTCGCTGTTCAAAACCCATTTATACCCCAGTATCGTCAAATCTCGTTGCCACGCTTTTCCATGAATAATTTGAATGTCGGATCCGAAAAGGCTTAACGGTCGACTCCGCGGACCAATAGCATAATTGCATAAATGAAACTATTACCGAACGTAAATCAACTTAGACTGGCACTTTTACGAGTTTTACCACGCCAAAATTCCTATGAAATTCGTTCTTAAACAACTAAAAGTTTCCTTATCTAAAGTAACACTTGTGCAAAGCGCGAGCACTCTGCTACCTTCCACGAATTTAACAATAACAAGACAAAATTTATTACATTTAAACACACTAATTACGGATTCGATTTTCCCAGACTTAAACTTCTTAATTAACTCCGGCCGAGCATTAATTGAACTAAAACAACGATCCTCTGCATAAAAATGGGAAATAAACGTCTTTCCAGAGTAAATAAATGCCGACCAACTGCGGCCTAATAAAAAAACACAACATATCTTTCATCTTTTGGAGGTAAAGGTATTACCCAAAAGACTAATCTAATCCTGAAGCGTTGCATTAGTAATCCATTAGCCACAGAATATAATTTTTGTGGCAAGAGAGCAGGAAAACGCCCTTTTTTTGAATTGAACTTGAAAAATGCTATTGTTGGTATGTTTTATAACTAAAAGCATAATTGATTACTAATGGGTTTTACTTACAGCTACAGTGAGACGATCTACAGATTGTACCGAGAGGGAAATTGAAGATATAATTAAGTGCTGGTTAAAACACGCTCCGCAGCGCCAAAAGTTACAAAATTTAAAAAATAATGCCTAAGCATTCTGTTTCGAAGAGGCAAATGTATCGCAGAGTGGCAACAGCTGTCCAACACACATTATTAGATCCTTCATCTAGTTCAAGAGAAGCAAAAGGTAAAACTGTTCAGCATAAAAAATCAGATCTCTCTGAAAGCTGCTCTGGTTTGGTAAGCAGTCAATATGATGATTTGGATAATTTCAATTTAGTAACACCCTGTGAGTTTTTCAATAGTTTTCCAAGCTGTTCTTTTGAAATTAATTATGGTTCCAATAATAACTCTGGCGAAAATTCTGATTCTGATTCAATCTCTGATTCCGAAAATGTAAATTCTGATTCTGAAGGTAAGAGCCATGTATTTAATGACAATGTTAATATAGAAAAATCCTCGGAAAAATCAGAAACTCCCAAACATAATGCACTTGCCAATAGTTTAAGAGAATGGGGATTAAAATTTAAAGTTTCACATTCGGCATTCACAGATCTATTGCATATATTACATGATTCCCATCCCTACTTACCACTTGATTGTAGAACTTTGTTAAATACACCATCAAGTTACGCTACAAAACAACTGGATAGTGGAGAAATGGTTTATCTGGGTATATCTCCTAATTTACAAAGAATTCTGTCTCCTCTTATTTCTACATCACCAAACTTGATTAATATTAAATTAGCGTTCAATGTTGACGGCCTGCCACTATTTAAAAGTTCCAATGTAAATATTTGGCCAATATTATGTCAGATTAAATCTATTACCGTAGAACCCTTTGTTGTTGCCATATTTAGTGGCTCTGGGAAGCCTGTGCCATTAAGTACATATCTGGAAGACTTTGTTGAAGAGTTGAAGGTTTTAATACATAATGGTATAGAGATAAATGGAATTACAATATCAATTTCAATTTATGCTTTTGTATGTGATGCTCCAGCACGATCTTATTTAAAAGGAATTAAATCTCACAGTGGTTATTCATCATGCGAGAGATGTATTGAAACTGGAGATTATTTGAATGGGAGAGTAATATTTAAAAAAGTTCATAGTACAAAGAGAACAGACCATACATTTACTTTACAGTCAGATGAATCTCACCACTTATATGACTCTCCACTGGTACAAGTGCCTAGTTTAGGACTGGTGTCGCATTTTGTTGTATTACATGCATAATGTTTGCCTGGGAATTATGAGGAAACTCTTAAACATTTGGATATCGGGTGCACTACATGTCAGATTAGGAAATCAAATTGTAAAAAAAATTTCAGATGATATTTTGTTGTTGAGTGATTATATCCCATTAGAATTCAATAGGAAAGGACGATCATTGCAAGATTTGCAGAGATGGAAAGCAACGGAGTTTAGAACATTTCTGTTATATGTATCACCTATTGTTTTAAGAGATAAACTTGATGTTGCCATGTACGAACATTTTATGCTTTTCCATGTTGGAATTACCATTTTAGTATCTTCAAGTCATATAAACAATATTGGTGCCAATCGCGCTGGCATATATTTAAATGAATTTGCCAATCATAGTTCTAATATATATGGTTGGGAGTTTCTGATTTATAATGTCCATATGCTTTGTCATTTACATGAAGATTGTAGTAAATATGGCCCACTAGATGAATTTTCGGCTTTCCCTTATGAAAATTTTTTTATTTCATACTGTCCGGTAGATGTTGGATTACACTATCATTTTGAGTCCGGTAGGTGAGTTATTACAGCATCAGAGCCGGTAAGTGTCGCTAAGCAACACTTACCGGACTGTTATTTGTATACATCAAATTTGACATCTTCACACAATTAATTAAAAACCCCAACATAAATTTGGCTGTAATTCTTTATTTCAAACATTAACATGGATTGTAATGAAACAATTTGTATTACCCTCAACACTAACGCCTGGGTTATTACTGGATGTCGAGTTAGTAATGTTTGATTCCTTCTGCTGTAGAACTTCAATGAAATTTTCACGGCCTTGCATCAGTTGTATCATACGGGCAATCTTAACTTTTCCTTCTACCGAGTCTTTGATGTATTTTTCTGCCGTCGATGAGCTTTTCCATGCCCCATGACACTTTAACACCGAAACCCAGGCAAAAAAATCTCAATTCAAAAACTTACTGCATCCAAACAGTATGCCAACATGACGTTTTCCTCTACTTGTTTCGCCCCATGTTCGTTCCTTAATTGGCAAAACACTTAGTACTCTTTTTCATACCTTGCGGCCGACTTCTTAGGAACCAACTTTTCGGTTGCTTCATGAGATTTCAACAGGATTGTATCGGGAACAGTGGAACATCCCACAACGTTTATAGCGTCCATTTTTCCGTGAAAAAAATTTAATGTCAACAAACTACAAACTATAGCAACGGCCGTTGCCACAGAAACAAGGTAATGCGATTTTTACAATATAATGAAATTTTGTAATCTTTGAAATGAAATAATGACACAAAACAGACTTACAGTATGAAATAAAATACGTTACGATATACGTCCGGTAGTACTTGTAACAGTACTCGTTTAAGACATTCTTGACTCGGCTCCTGACGTCGCCTCGTCCATAATGTCTAACTCGTACTGTTACAAGTAACCTACCGGACTTATAACGTAAATAACTATAGGAAAACTTAAATACTTCGTATAATCGCCTAAAAAACCATTGCAACAATTATGTCGTAGGATACAAGAATTGCAGTTTCTTTCAAATTCTTTTAAGAACAATGATCAGGTAGTGCCTACATTAGAACATATTGGAATCCTTCCTATAATATATAGAGGTAGAATAGATATAAAGCATTTTAAAAAAGTTGTATATAATAAGTGTACTTTTATTATTTACCCAGTTTCTTCTTATAACTCATACTGCATTACTAAAAAAAAAGGTATTTGAAATACATAATATCATTAAAGATGGTAACATATACCTTGTAGGCAAATCATTTTCACATTATGAATCATTTTTTGACTATCCTTTATCATCTGAAGATCTGTGCATTTATGCTGTATCTAACCTTTCGCCTTCTCTTGAAGTTGTGTGTATTAAAGATGTAGTTGCTAAGTGTATTTTGTTTCCATTTTTAAAGAAACCTGATTTTTTTATATCTTATCCAATTATTCATAGTATACAGTAATCGTTTTTTTTCAATATTAGATTTTACTAAAGTAGTGTGTACTTTTCGCGTATAAATAGAAAAATAAAGTTATTTAGTACATTTATTGTTTAATTTTGTCATATTCCCAGCAAAAATTAACCAATTCCCTACTTTTTATTTTGGGCTATTGACCCCATAAAATGCCGTCATTCTAACGTACATTGAATGTCGTCGTTTTAACGTACATATAATGACGTAAAGGGCCTATGACATAATGACGTCATATTTAGGTATAAATAAACTATATAAATGACGTTAACCTTTGGAGTGGCGGAAATATGACGTTATTGTGACGGCACTCTGCTCACTGGGCAATGATTTCACCATTGAGCTTCTAAAGACCCTAAATAGCCAAGAGTTAAAAGAACTGATACCCCAGTCCATGGGAATGCGGAAGCTCATAGAAAACAATATAAAAATGTTGAAGGAAATGGTAAAGAAAATTGCACAATATTACACATAATAGTGCTTGGCTCGCCGAGGTATATCTGAAAAAAGATGTTGCTGTTGGAGCAGGACGAAGCAAAACCTTTAAGTGCAAAGAAAATTGCTGAAAGTTCTAGGTAATTGATATGATGTAGTCTGTCTTCAGGAGTCCACCACCCACGAACTCTACTCTCTCCGCAGCAAGCATCCCAACCAGTAAGCGAGGCGTCTGAAAAAACCTCCAGCACAAATTGATCCTTCCTAATGTCATTAAAAGCAGCGTCAATTGAAGTAAGCCACTAAATAAGGTCTCGCTGTGGTTACGTGCAGTAACATTGACGCAGAGTAGCTCCCTTCACTCGCCTGGGGGGCCAAATGTTTGTTCCATTCAAAAATTTTGGTACGTAACCACCCGTATTTGACTCCCGGACAGACCGACACCAGATAGCCAATAAAACCTGCCCAATCGCGAATTTTACAGCGTTTCAAAGACAAGAATTTACTGGTCCACGTCTTTATTTTTTCTTTCTGTTCTACTGGCAGAAAAATTGTGAGTTGTTCCGAATCGAGCATAAAGCCCAGGAATTTGATGGTCTTTTTAGGGATGAACCGGCTTTTTTGTAAGTTAATGGAAAACCCCAGAGACTGCACAAAATCGACTGCTACCTTAGTATCACGGAGGCAGCCATCGTAGGAAGAATTCAATAGCAAGATGTCGTCCAGGTAGTACACGCACAAAATCTTCTGAGATCGCAGCCATTGTGTTACCGGGCGCATGAGTTTAGTGAAAACATAGGGCGCGGGAGATAACCCAAATGGCAGGCAGGTGAACTCGTATAACTGCCAATCAAACTCAAATCTTACAAATTTCCTAGAATCTGGGTGGATTCGTATATGGAAGTAGGCGTCCTTAATATCGATGGATGTAAACCAGCAGTCTCTGTTGACGAGTCTCAAAGCAGTTCTAATGTCCTCCATTTTAAAATGGGGAGACTCTAGGATAAGATACTTTAAATTCAAAATGAAACGTTTCCCACCATCGGATTTATCCGCTAGGAAGATATTGGAAACACATTGTCCCGGGTGAGACTCACACCTTACTATTGCTTTGGACTTTAGCAGAGACTTGATTGCATCATACATATCTAAATTCTGGGCTGTCCAAACTTTAGGTAAGTGCCCGATGAAAAAACTTGGTGGGGTGGTGAAAGGTAGCTCATAGCCTTCTATCCACTGGAGTAAAATAGGGTTTGTCGTTATTTTGCGCCAGTTAACAAGGAAATGACGGAGTCTGCCCGCAATAGGACTTACCTGAATTAGCGTTTGTAACTCTTTTGCTTTAGATGGGGTTTGTGCCCTCGGGATGACCTCGTCACACCTCTGTGACGGGTCGGGCCGTACCGGTTTAAAGGACGGTGGTCCTTTCCGGAGTAACCCGTCCTGCGCCCTCGTAGGTTTCCTCCTCCCCCTCCTTTACTTGTGGAAGGGAAAACTGGAACTTGTCGTAGCTCCTTGCTCCACTGCATATTGATGGGTTAGCGTCTGCAAGTTATCAGGAGATAATCCATTTTCTACGATATGGTTCCATCTGGTGGCAATTGCGTCATGAACATTTTCCGCCTGGGTCGGTCGGCACGGTCCATCATTTCCTAAGACTTCTGCAAACTCGTCAAAAGCCGAAGATCCTGCAGGACTAGCGTATTTGCATCGGCCTGCTCATCATTTATTGATGCATTGAGTAAGGCCAAGGAGGGGCCCACAAGGGTCCTCTGCTTGGGGCTGCCTGAATCGACTTTAGGAGATTCAGGAGAACCCCTGCGACTTAAAGAAGTCCTAGGCGTGTGGCTAGGCCCTAAAGAAGGCTGTGGCGAGTTGATTAAAGAAGCATCAGATGAGTAGGATCGCTGTGGTGTAGAATGTTTGCCTGAAGAAGCATCATAGCCACGTGTGGCGCCGCCACTGACCCTGTCAAAGATGGAGCGCGATCGAGAACGCCGCGTGCGTGAAAAGCTGCTGACTCGCCTCCCATAAGCATTTTCCTTTTCCCGCTCCAAAAGTCTAACCTATGTAACCGTTTACGTAACTCGCCTTTGGATCTGTGATCGCGTTCTCTACTTCTAGAACGATGCTTTCTGGTCTTTCCCATTTCTAAAAATGAAAAAGAAAAGCAGTCCTAAGAGCAAGCTACACGACAAACCGTCACGAGCACGAGAAAACGAAGAATGAAGTAGGGTCAAGTGGGGTAATTACAAACACTTTTAGTAATTTGTACTTTTAACTGACTTACAGTATGCTTTAAATATTCCCAGTTCGATTAATAATACACCCTCTAAAGCAACATATGTTGTGAGTTATTTGTATTCATTTTTGAAGAAAATAACATTCAAAAAAAGTTTTTATGGCCTATTTACAATTACCCTACGCAAAATTTGGGTTTCGCTATTAATAGGGGTAAATGTAAACATTCATATCCCATTCGGGCGCATTCCACAATTTATAATTCTACGTCTTCACTCAATACCCGTGGACGACCAGCACCCATTTTTGTGATTGGTACTTTCCTACCCTTAATTCTGTGATAAATAA